GCTTTCAACAAAAGCCCTCTTTCTGAGTGCACAGATTAGATCTAGAGCAAAATCTGTATTATTTTTATTAGCTTCTAAATATTAGCTTCCAGTTTTACTTTATATTATGTGGACTCAGGCAAACCTGTTGGTTTCCTTTAGTGGTTTTTAACTAATGTTATCTGAAGGGCAGATTTATAGGCACTGTCTCACAATACCAGTCAGGGGAAGCTTTCCCTAGTGAAACATGTCTATCCCACAATGTATTCAGGCAGATGAAATGTAACCATCTTACATAAAATCTATTTAAGTGTATACCAGTTTTTTGTGAACTTTTATCTCAATTCTGTCAACTTTTATACCTTTAACTTTAGTTTTTATTCGGGCCCTATCAACAAGCCTTTGTTTCATAAAGAGTCCAGAAATCTTTCTTTTTATCCCAGCCATTTCATCTATTTTGGTATAAAATGCTTTGGTCTCAAATGAGAGGTTGAGCCAAAAGACTCAGGTTCTTTTGTTAATTTTTTTTAACTTGATTAATTGATCCAAGCAATTGTTGGTCATATATCCCAGTGCAATTTTTTTTCAACTATATATATAGTTTATATATACGGCTTTTAAAAATTTTTTATTTATTTTTTAACTGAGATAAATAGAGCAGACTTGTTTGGGACCATTTAATGTTCAGGACCAATTAGGGGGTCCCTTTGGCCCATCCAACCTTAGGTAGCCTTGCATCAAAACCTTTTGTTTTAACCCCATCAACATTCATTTTATTTATCCCATTTTAAAATAACCATCTAAAGATTTCTTTATCCATTTGGGTCAGATCCCTTTTAAAGTTTTACCTTGTTGTAAAGAAGTTTCTAGGCTTTCTCTTTAGTTTTTCTTCTTACTTCCCTGTTTATCAACCTAATTAACATTATCCTAATGGTTTTGTTAGCATCTGTATGACCCATGGGGGAAAGCACAGACCACAAATAAGGCTTCCCAGACCATTTTGTCATTGTTTTTGTGTATTTGTTTGTGTTAAATTAAAGGAGTTCTTAGGCTAACCATTATATGTATATTTTTTTCCACCTTCTAATTTGTTTTTTCATAAGTACCAATAAAACAGCTCTTTATTATGAGAGCTCTCTAAAAATTTACCAGTTTGGAAGTTTCTCCAATTTAAAGGATCCATCACCTGGCCATTAATGAGATATAATACCTTAATAATGACTCATATCAATAAGATGCAAGAGGTGTCCCCACAAGAGTGTGACGGGTGCCACCTAAACAAGAACCAGGAAGTTTACTCCCCAAAATAGTAAAGGCAGATGCAGTGAACATTAAGATGGCAAAAAGCTCACTGTGAGTTGGCACCGTTAGGCAAAAGACTGCTCTGAATCCCAGTTTATTTAATTGGCTGCCAGATGTATACCATATATGTACCTTCAGGTGGCAGAGTTAGTGATCTTAAAACACACACACAAAACAAAGATCGGATAAGAACATTTACATCTCAAAGACACAGGAAGAGAAGTGCAAGTTCCCCTTAGAAGGGCTTTTGTTTCTTTAAGGTCAGAATTCTGAAAAGATTTTATCAAGCCAGCTTTCTGTAACTTAACTGTGCGTGCATTAAAAGAGCTTCTTCTTAGTCATGTTCAGGACAAGATTTCCTTTAATTCCCAATTAAGTACGTAATTGAAAGTGTGAGTTTTGTGCATACATAAACCTGGTTGGAGTGTTAGATGGAGGCTGGCAATCTATCGTTCCTTTTTCCCTTTTTTTTTTTTGAAGGCTTTGTTCCCCATTCTGCGGTCAGTTTGTCAAGATAAAATCTCTAATTACAATCGTGTGATGGACCAATGTGCTGTTTGTGAGCTTATTAACTCCTCTAGATTTTACTCTGGGCTCGTTTTACCTCTCTTATGTGTCTCAGTTTCTCCCTTTGGTAACCTAAGACCACCATGGGCGCTGGGATCACAGAGTGACCAGCTCTTCTGCATGTCAGCAGAGCAAGTTTTAATGAAAATGAGTAGGTTTCTCTATAGGGATGGCTGCAAGGTCGGAGGACTTACCTCCATCACTCCTGCAAGTTTCTTATTGCCTGAGAAATCTTTTGCCAGCTGGAGGATGTCCCTTTTTCAGAGCTGAAAGCTCTCATGAAATATCTTCCTTTCTATTCCAACAAACACTATTAATAGTAGTCAATTCAAGGAAAAACTCCGGACCATCTTCCACCTGATTACTCAGTCCAGCCTTACTAAGTGTCTTTCACTGAGGATACCCAGGTACCTCTTCTTGAAACTAAGTTTCAAAGATAACCTACTCCTCCAAAGAGGAGTTTAACACCACCAAATAAAACTCAGGATCATCAGCCAATAATGGGAGATCCAAGAACCAGGAGAGACTTACCCAAATTCATCTGGACTCTTTGGGGAGGCAGATGGGCCCAAGAGGCCATTGTTGGTACCAAGGCTCCAGATCCTTGTGGAGTGAAGGCAGAGGAGACAAGTCTGCTCTGGGTCCCTTCACTGGTCGCCGAAACTGTCAACTGAAAAAAATTACACAGCCTAAAAGTTGAGAAATGATTTATTCCGTGGACTCACTGGGGACTTAATCCCAGGAGACAGCCTATCAGATAGCTCTGAGGGACTGTTCTGAAGACATAGTGGGGGAGCCAGGATATATAGGAATTTTTGTAAAGAAAAACAAACAAAAAAACGCAAACCCCAAAAACCCACAGGTGTTCAGAACATCAAAAGATTACTGACATCTTCAACTTAATCAATTTAGCACTTTTCTGTGTGTGGTAAGATGCAAGAGTCTGGGCGTATTGAAATTGTTCCTTTGATATGTGCCTTAATTTTGTAGGGCCAGTATCCTGTTTTTCTCTGAACTGAGTCTGCTCAGGGTGTACCATTGTGGTTGATGGCTTCATGGCAGGCATCCTGTTTATTTCCATCCTTTGTTTACTGATGTAGCAGGCAACATTCTTTGTCCACAGAGATAACATACCAGTGACAGGCAGCCTGTTTATCTCCATCCTTTGTTTACTGATGTAGCAGGCAACATTCTTTGTCCACAGAGCGACATACCAATGAAGAAAATAGTTTGGAGCATTTTAGGTAGATAAAATGTATTGTCAATATTTATTTCATATTATTTGAGTCTATATCATAAGCTTGAGATTCTCAAAATTATTTTAATCTGGTAATTTTCATTCACAGTAAGAAATTAGACACATCTTACAAGGAATGAAGAGAAGTTAGGGAGATGAAAGTTCAATTATATGATTAAGAAGTTAAAAACTAGGACATATGAGCAAAAATTTATGCTAAGGCAGTCATTGGAAAGCCAGATAGAACATTTAGTAACTATTTTGTCTTATGTGAAAGATGACATTGTTGACCCATCTTTACCAGAGTACAGAAATAGAAGAAGTTTGCTGAAAAGAGATTTCTTATCTTAGGGAGTAAATTTAACAGCAAATTTTCATTGAATGCTACAGTAAAGAAGGCTTTCAAATGAATTTCCGTAGTAACCCTTGAGGAGATCTGTATAATGTTGTAAGCGATTTTGGAAGTTCTACAAGGACAGATGGTTATGCATGAGATGCTTGAGTTCTAATTGTCAGTTCTGTGATTGTTGTATCTTATAAAAGGAGAATATTAAGTTTACAAATAAAATCTACAGAATTGAAATTAAACCCAATAATAGTTCTAGATTATCTAGACACATTAACGATTCTATATAAATCTTAGGTTAACTTTGTCCAGATGCTCTTATGTATCACATCACTTTGGAGTTAATTTATTCATCTAATTGTGGAGTATATTTTATTCAGAGGGTTTTCCCCCACCTTTGGAAAGCTAAATATTCATTGTTGTCCTTACAGTTGTTGACCTGTTGGACAGATGGTCATAGCTGTTTACTTAGTTCATTGTTTGTAAAACTCATTTAATGTTGACTAAGATATACATGTACATAATATTTGCAGATACAGATCTAATTGAAAATACTGTGCTTTGTATCTGTACCAAGCTGAAGAATGTTTTAAAAGTCTTTTAAATTAACTGTATTTGGGGGGGAAAAACGTATGCTGAGAAAAAACTAGTTTTCCTTTTGAATTGAAAAATGGAGCTTATGCTTTCTTTGAGGAAATTTGAACTTAGTGGCTTAAGATAATTATAGTTGTATTTTTTATTTTTTTGGAAATTTTACTGCTTATTATTCTTAGGCTCTTGATAGTTTATTACAGAAATAGGTTGTTGGTATGGATCCATAGTCATTTCTTGACAGTTTTTCATATTTGCACCGGAACTCTGAAGGGTGAATGAGAGGAGACCAAGCAGTCATTTCTTTGCCATGCTCTTCTCTCAAACAGAATGACTTCTTCCTGTATCTAATTTTATGCAAAGGAGATTATTTAAATAATTGAATTAAAAAGTTGAGAGGAATTCTTTACCAAAGAAAAAAGTCTTCTATTACTATTTGAAAGATGCTGCTCTTATAATATAGTGCCGATGATGTGATTACTCTTGGGTCTTTGAGAATCAGGTATTTATTAGTGAATATAAAAGGCTAGCAGACTTCAAATTATATGAAGTCACATTATAGAGGTACTAGTATACTAAGCAATAGAATAATCTACTCAGTATCTATTTTTCATGTTGCTGAATTAGGGCAATTTGAAGGTACGTATTCATTTCCTGCTACTTTCTTTTAGTTTATTTTTTAAATTCTGGTGTATTAAATAAAATTATAAATTAATCATTAGAAACTTAAAATGGCATTTTGTGTCACAGTTGACAGTAATCATGCTATTTAAATTCATAAGTATCAAGTAATTTGTTTTCTCATCCAGTGGAGAAAGTTGAAGAGAGACAGCCCTCATTTTATAAAATAAACATTTACTCTGCAGTATGTACCAGACATAATGCCAACTACTGAGAACATAGTCCCTGTACACATGGAACTTAAAATTTGTGGGCCAGTTTTTAAGAATTAATAAGCTTTTTCCTGTTTTTTCCTAGCCTAATTCTGGTGAACTGGACCCTCTATATGTAGTAGAAGTACTCCTGCGCTGTAGCAAAGAGAGCTTGAAAAATTCAGCTACTGAGGCTGCAAAGCCCGCTAAACCTGACGAGAAAGGAGAGATGCAGGTTTGTACTTCTTTATTTTCAGATTTCAGGTATTATTTTATATTACTTATAATCACTAGATTTCCTAAATGTGACTATAGTGAGCATAATGTCATGATTTCTAAATTAGAAGTTTTCAAGATGTTTTAAGGTATGTTAAAAGCTATCTAAATACAGTAGGATAATTAATGAAATTTAGCTCTCTTTTATCAAGGTAAATAAGGACAAAGTGAAAGATAAGGGAAATTTAATAATTGAAATTTTCACATGAAGCTGGAATTTACCTAGGCTAAAAAGATATTTTGTCATTTTTGTGATTGAATAACTTTACATTTTTATTTCCTTTACTGTTTATTACATCCCTGTGAAAATAATGATTGAAAAAATGATCCAGTGTTTTGATAATGAAAAAATTCTAAATTTCCTTAAAATCATTTAATTTATATGTCCTTTTAATTAAGTTCAAAATGTTTTCCATATGAGATTTATTTCTTGAATGTCTATTTTATTTTACTTTAAAATAATTAATATAGAATAAAAGTAGATAAACCTTACTGTAGAGATTCCATGTATCTATTTGAAGGCTAATATAACTGGAATTTTGTTATTTTTAAACATTGCTTTAAGTATGTGGCACATTGGCTAGATCTTTTAGGAAATGTCATTGTAATGATACTTGTTGTAATAGGCTTTGGTTTGTGGAAAGTAAAATCTGCCACTGCAGCATTATAGGCTACTGCTTTGGATCAGTTAAATGACTGAAATTCAGAGTTGGCAGTAGTTAAAAAGACTATTCATTATTAAGCGTTTTAAAATAATGATTTATAAGTCTAATTATTTATCCTTCTGAGTGCCAACTAGCCTTTGATCTTTGTTCCTCTGTCTTCTAATTTGTTCTCCTCCAGACTTCCACCACCAGTGAAACTTGTAAGATTTTTTTCTCCTCATATTTACTTACTGACTGTTTAACTCTAAATGAGGCTAAAATTCCCACCACTTGGCATATATTTATTGTAGCCAAAGGAACCTTTGAAATTATTGCTGAAAAATTACTTGGTCCAAAATGCATAACCTGAATCTGATGATTCTTCATGATTCGACAAACCTACAAAATAACTAACCTATAGCATTAAAAAATGTTAATGTCCTGACAGTCACAGAAAAACTGAAAAACTGTTCCAGATTAAAGGAGAATGAAGAAGTATTACAACTAAATTCAATACATGATCCTAATTTGGATCCGTAGAGTGGTGGAGGAGAAGGGAGGTTGATATAGAAGATGTTTTGGGGAAATTAGGTAAATTTTAATATGGACTATAGATTATACTATCGTATCAATATTAAATTCCCCTCTTTTAATACTTGTTTTGTGGGTGTATGGGTGTGTGTGTATATGTCTATATATATATATATATATATATATATATATAT